ATTCGGTGACTGGGGTAATCGGGATGGGTGTGTCAGAGGCGGTGCGGTTGGCGCAGGATAGAGCAGGGTTTACAGCTGTTGTGCATAGGGTCGCTATGAGTCGGAAACGACTCGATGGCACATAACAACAACAATATAACAGGCAATAATTTTACCACTGAACAGCCACTATCCTTGGACATCTACCCATAGGGGACTAGTCTGTACATGTGCCAGACACTGTTTTACCTGATGCAGACACATAGTAAATAGTACCTTACAGAGTTAACATTCTGGTATTATTATAGTTATTCAAACCTGGAACAAAACTTGCCCCACTGGCTCAACTTTCAGCAAACAATATACAGACCTATAAGGTGACCTATAAGCACTCACTACTTAGAATAACCAACAATAAAGACTTAAAAGGGAGCTCTAATGGCACAGTCCATCCAGAGTTGTACTGCTAACCCAAAGATGTCACCTCTCTGCTGATTAGAATCCCTCAGGTGCTGCAAGTGAGAAAAATGGGCTATCTCCCAGGTGATTTACAGATCTCAAAAAAAAAACACCAAAAAACAAACAAACCAGGGAGGGTCAAGTATGAATTGGTTTCAACTGCACTACAATGAGTTTACATTTTGGTGGGTTGTTTTAGAAGACTAAAGTGCAGTACTTGCCAGATGAGAAGGAGTAGCACACTAAGATTAATGTAAGAGAGTCATTACGTGTCACGGAGTCAGAGCCAACTTCAGATGAGCCTTCGGTAGGTTTTCAGAGGCTGAACACTGCATAGGATGAGATTATCCTGCATAGGATGAGATTATCCATATTTTTCCTAAAGAGTAGCTTCTTCTTGTTGTTGTGTACCAGAGAGTCAGCACAGACCAATAGCTGGCCCTCCAGCGGGTTTGCAGAGGCGGGTAATCACACAGGAGGAGACTTTGCATCCTTCTCCCTCGGCTGCTGGTCTCAAACTGCATGCCTCTGGGATTACAACGCAGCTTCTTGCCACTAGGCCACCAGAGCTTCTCAAGATTGTTGTTGTTGTTGTTGTTGTTAAGTCGCAGGCGACCCACAGCTTCAAACTTGTTTTGTTTTGTTTTCTTTCAAGCTTGTTTTAATTGGGGAGCTCCACCTAACACTGTCTGCCATGGGTAACTAACCATTAATGCTCATAATGGCTCCAACCCTGAAAAATCACTGTTTCTGCTAGTGGATTCAAATTACCTGCCTCTGGGGTGGAAATATAACTCCTTACCCAACAGGTCATCAGAGCTCCCTATTATTACATTACAGGTACTGTAATTAACATTCTGAAACAAAATGTGCATGTATGAATGATTTAATGATAAAAGCAATATGCTTTCTAAACTCTCACTCAAATCACAGTAAAAATTAATTGCTTTCTTAATTAAAAAGAAGAATGTCAAATATTCCGCCCCCTAAAATTTCGCAGTGGGTGTTTTTACCTAAATTGTTTACTCAATTAAATTACCACTTTTTGTAATTTTAATTACCTCTAATTTTGACCTCTGTTATTAAACCTATGACCAGAGGGTCTAAAAATCCTAGAAAACCAAGTTGTGTATCAAAGAGTATTTCCTTCTGTTGCTATGTGTTGGAACTAACTCAACAGTACCTAAACAGAATAAGCAGTTGCTTTCAGAGAATGAGGACTGCTTATGACAACAGCAGCATTTCCAAAGTAACTGTCAGTGTCTTTCCAAGAGAGATGCCAAGATATGCTAAAAAGAAACTAAGGGGGGTTTTGTATTTTATTTTTTTTATGATCACAGGAAATGGCACAAACCCCAAGCAAAATAGAGGTAAAAAGGTAAAACTAAGGTAGAAAAGAAAATTTATCTGCTAAGAATCCAAGAATATGTGGATAAGATGTCAAGACCAGGTGTTTGGTGTCTGCTACATACGATCATTTTCTACTTTGAGGATTTAGTTTCCTGGCATCTACTGAGCCATCAACATATTCAGACATATATTGCTGGATTCCTTCAGTGCTGAGGAAGTTGAAAGGCTATACAACTTACGAATGTTGCATTATGGTGCTAAATATATGTAGTAAACTGCTATGATTGCTTAAGATAAGCAATTAAACGCTATTTTTTTTTTCATGGCACTTTTTTTCTGATACTTGCAATTGTCACGGTTAGCTATTTCTATCCACAAGGATGTTTTCTTAATTGAATTTTATTATAATTAAATATGAGGTTGAGATCATGTATTAACCAAGTTAATATTTACAAATAACACCTCTTTAAATGGAAAAACACACGCTCAGCAAAGCTTTCTCCCTCATTGCTTTATCAGCTGGGACCGACTCACAGCTGACCCATCTTTCTGGAGGAAACTGCCCATCTTTCTGCCTTGCAGCAGCTGGTCAATTCAAACCACCTGCTTTGGCGTCAATAAAACAGCTCCTTATCCACAAGACTACTATAGTTCCCTGCCTTCAGGGAAGCTCTTTAATCAAATAAATAAAGCCTTCTACTTGGGGCACGCAAACCTGATCCTTGGTCCTGGCCATGCCATATGACACTGGACAAGCTGATTAATCTCTATGAAGCTGTATGTTCATTTATGAAGTGGCAATTAATTTCCCCATTCTTAACCTTCACTTTGGGTAATATAGTGCATTTAGGAAAAAAAAATATATAAATGGGAAATTCCCACCTTTGTTATTAACTGCATAGTAAAGATTAGTATAAATGCAATACACACCTACAAATGAAGCTATCTCTCACTCTACTTCTCCACAGTCATCACTAGAAACTAGCATTTCTCTCTCTGACCCTAGACACCTAAACCTAGGTTAGAGCTCAGAAGTTGGAAGGACATAGTCCTTCAGACTCTCAAACTAGTTGATACCAGTGACGAGCTTGCAGATTTCACCAACACCCAAACTTCTGACTTTTTGGCCACAGATCTGCTGCCAGTTTCCCCCTATCTTTTCAGGATGCCAGCCTCAGGTTTAAAGAGTCTTCCTAAAAACTCAACCTTCTGATTTGTTGGATCTTACTGCTCCTTTTGAATTCACTGTAACAACTCAGAGAATTTGTAGAGATATATCATTTCTACAGATAACTAGTATAGCAAACAAAGGAAATAAGAAAAATTCTGTAAAGTGTTCTAGCTCGAAGTTTGCAAGTCTCTAGGGGTATACAACCCTCTCAAGTGCATAGCTATCTTTCTCCAATTGAAGTCCATGGAATTTACAGATGCAAGGCCTTTTATTTTACTTCACTGCATAGTTAATACACATGGTTCATTAAATCATAGTCCCTTCTCTTCCTAAAATTAGCTGACCTGTGACCAGGACAACTTCTGATCAGAACAAATTTTCTGGTAGTTGCAGGTAACAAATGCATTTTGATCACCCAGAAAATGTCAAGGATTATCTCTCAGGGATCAAGGAAATCAAATGAACATATTGTAATGTAATTCATCACTGCTTATACATGTTTAGTACTTTTTTTTAAAATCTGCTTCTTCTGTGCACCCACAGGACACTTGTCCTTAACTTTAGATGCATTTTTATCTTAAAAATTTAAAGTATAAAGAGAGAAAATTACACATTTTACCTGGGAAAATCACATTAATCAATTTGTATATATTAAACCAATAGGTGAAGACGCATGGCATATTTTGAACAGAATAACAACTCACCTGTAGCTGCTGTTCTGTGAGTTTATTTTTATGTCTACTGAGTAACTCTCGTAGTTGTTTCTCTTTTTCATTTTTCAATGATGACACTGTACTCAGGGTACCCAGAGGGATGGAAGGTAGCTGTTCCTTCTGATGACAACTTAACAATCAAAAGGGGGAAAAATACAATGTTAAGAAGAAATAGAAAACTATTTCCTGTCTGTGAAAGGTGATTTTTCTACAAGGAGCTATTATATATATAAATATTATATGTCTATATAAATATTATATATATAAATATAGAGATAGAGATATATAAATATAATACCCCAAATCAAAGCACAACAGAAAAATACTATCTTGGTGGCTTTAGGTAATACATGTATTTAAATGTCCAATTTAAGAGGAGAAGCATTTAATGGGAAAATACATAAGACATCATTTGCTTTTGAAGATTACAGAATGTATGTTATTTTCCTAATGCTTCATTTAAACTGTATTATTATTAAATGAAAGCAATCTTGTGGCATAACGGGCTAAGAGTTGACCTTCCAACAAAAAGGCTTACGGTTCACATCTCCTAGCTGCTCTTTGAGAAAAAAAGATGAAACAATGAACTGTTAAAACGTATACTCTCAAAACCCAGGGAAGACAGTTCTATTTGATCATATAGAGTTACTGTGAATTGGAATTAACCTTATGGTAGTGAGAATCTTCAAAAACGTCTTTTTAACTGGATAAATTGTGTATACTGCACTGAAACAGATGAGGGACTGAATAATTTAAAAGCGATGTATGATAGGGTATTATGGTTATCACAAGAGTCCACAATTAAGGTTGCATAGTGGAATGTACTTGGGGCGGTGGGAGGGGTGCGGGGGGGTTGTGTACCAGGGAGGGAGTCTTTCTGTTACTTTTGAAAGAGAGGAGCGAACTGGGGGGCAGAGGGAGAGGGCTGGGCGGGGAGAGAAGTGCAGCAATGAATGAATGGGAATCCAAATTCTCTGCAAATGTTCATTAAAATTATTTTAAAAAATAAAGGAAAAAAAAAACCCCAAAAAGGTCTTTTTAAAAAAATCATGCTTTCTAGATAATGAATACTTTAATAATTGCCATTTTGTAAAAAAAATCTGGGGGACAAATCTGTTTTGTTGTTAATTAAATCAGGTTGATGTTTTATTGTTGTTAATTAAATCAGGTTGATTCCACCTCCCAAATTGTTAAGCACTACTGTTGTTGTTGTTGTTATATGCCATCGAGTCGCTTGCGACTTATAGCGACACTATGGTACAACAGCCCTAAACTCTGCTCTGTCCTGTGCAATTACATTGTCTCTGACACAGCTGATGTGCTGTTTCAGTCGTTTTTGGATAATCTTCAGTAAAATCTTGCTTTCGTGTGAAATCAGCAAGATTGTTCTATAGTTTCCACACTGTGTTGGGTCACCTTTCTTTGGGATAGGAACAAATATAGATATCTTCCAGTCAGCTGGCCAAGTGGTTGTTCTCCAGATTTCTTGGCACAACTTGGTGAGCACATCCAGGGCAGCATCTGTCAGCTGAAATATGTCAATTGGTATACCATCTATTCCTGGGGCTTTATTTTTTGCTATTTCCTTCAAAGCAGTCTGAACTTCTTCCCTCATCACCATAGGCTCTTGCTCATAGTTATTTCATGAATTTCTTCTGTGTCTTCCCATTCCTTTTAATACAGTGACTCAGTATATTCTTTCCATCTTCTTTTAATATTTCCTGGATTGTGTAATATTCTACCTAAAGCATCCTTGATGATAGCAACTCGAGATTTGAATTTGTTCTTCAGTTCCTTGAGCTTAAGAAATGCTGAGCGTGTTCGGCCCTTTTAATTTTCTGACTCCAACTCCTTGCACATTTCACTGTAATATTTTGCTTTGTCATCCTGTGTTGACTTTTGGAATCTTCTATTCCGCTCTTTAGTATCTTGAATTCTTCCTTCTGCTTTGGCTTCTCTATGCTCCAGTGCAATATTCAGAGTTTCTCCTGACATCTATTTTGGTCTTTTTTTTTTTTTTCTCATCTGTCTTTGTAATGACCGTTTGCACTCTTCCTGAATACCTTTGACGTCCTCCCACAACTCATTTAGTCTTCGCTCATTAGTGTTCAAGGCCTCAAACCTGTTCCTGAGATGGTTCTGAAATTCAGGTGGGATGAACTCAAAGCCATATTTTGGTTCCCATGGGTTGGGTTTAATTTTCCTCAGTTTCAGCTTGAACTTGCATATAAGTAGTTGGTGGTCTTTACCACAGTTAGCTCCTGGCCTAGTTTTCACAGCAGATATTGAGCTCCTCCAGTGGTTCTTTCTGCAGATGTAATCCATCTGATTCCTATACATGCCATCCAGTGAAATTAGATATTATTGTCATGACAGGAGTCCAGAATGAAGATTTCATAGTGGAGTAGACTTGGGGGGAGGGATTATTTAAAAATGAAAGAATTTTACTTTTCGAAGAGAAGAGTGAACGGGGGGGAGGGGGTTGGGGGAAGGTTGGGCAGAGAAAATGAACAATGAATGAATGGAAATCCAAAGTCTCTGCGAACATTCATAAAAATTAATTGAAAAAAGAAAAATAGTGAACTGGGGGTAAGGAGGAAAATGTAAAAGAATAACTGAATGAATGAATGAAAATCCAACTTTTCCATGAACCTGTTAAAATTACAATAAAAAATTTAACAACAAAACAAAACAAACAATGTTACTTCCTGTAAAAAAATAGTTCTTTGTTAAATTGGATACTATATGTTCTCCTTTTTTAATTAATTTGGCTAAGATTTCCAATATAATATTGAATAGAAGTACAAATGCATCATTGTCTGGTTCCCATTCACAAAGAGAATTTTTTGCTTTTCTCTCTTGAAAATAATGTTGTTGTTCTTGTTGTTATGTGCCATCGAGT